TGAAAACGGAATGAAAAAAAAAAAAAAACAATATGCAGAAAGTGCGTCATTTTCTGCCAGCTGCTGCGGCGGCTCGGCCCCTGCGGTCGGCGAGGTAGGCCGCCCGCCCGACAGGCGCTCGCAGCCGGCGGCCTACCCCGCGATCCGCAGGCGTCAGTGGCGGCAGCGGCCTTCTTATACGGGTCATCCGTTGAGATGCTTTTTATGAGGTATACGTTGGCCCACCAAGCGAGGCTCATATCTAAATAATGACATTATTTAACATTTTGTACACGCTATTACGAGAGTGATTCCACTAGAAAATGTGACTCACGTTGATGATCATTTTATCAATGATTTCCAGCATTTCTGCAAGACACTACATTTATTTACAGTCATTCAATATCGTGACCGTGATACAAGCGTCCCGCATCTTGAAGATGATGTAATTTGACCGCGATCTTGAGTGAGAGCATAAGCTTGGGATGAGCAGGCCACTCCGTCACGGTAAAAACAATGTCCTTTTTTTTTAGGAAAAAGGAAAAACTTTGAGGAACTCCACTGTTTGAGAAAGAGTCCTCCGATCTCGCCTCAGATTTTGAGGAATCTTCTCAAAATATGAGGAAAAGTGCCAGGAGGAGACCCCCTCAAAATCTGAGGAGTTTTTGTCAAACCAGGGGAGTTCCTCAAAGTTTTCCCTTTCTCCTCAAAAAATGAGACATCGTTTTTACCGTGCGTCTTTCGCTTGGCCTAGCCGCCGCCCCCCTCCTCCGTGCCCCCGCTTACCTTGTCCAGCCCCGTGAAGGCGACACCCAGCCAGCGGCCGTCCTTGAAGAAACCCAGGGTGCCAGCCACGCCGTCGAAGAGGACGCCGATGGTCGTGGACTCGTTCTGCGGGAAGGGCTCCGTGTACGGCGACCACAGGCCGCCGTGCCAAACCACCCCCTTGTGCGACAGTCCCCACCCATGTTCGTCCTCACCTGAAAAGAAATGCAAAGTAAAACATAAAGGGTTAGAACTTTTGAAAAATTGAAGATAAAATAAAATGAGTGTGTGTGTTTGGGGCAAGTGACCCCTCTAGCGCAGGCGACGCGCACGCTCTGACGACACATAAACCTAAAGGGACGGTGAGGCCATGCTTTATGGGTGGGAAGGGTAGGGGCGTTTTGATCTAAAAGACCAGCGTGCCCCCCCCCCCCCCCCCACAGCGCCATGCGACGCCGAGGCGATCCAAATCAAGTCGCCCATGTTGGCCACGGCGGCTGCTAGGTCGGGCTGCGCCCGCGCTGCTGTGCCCGGCTCGCCTCTTCATCAGGCTATTTGAAATTTTAATGTTTTGCATGGCATATTACTTGTGGACTGTTCCCTCGCGCTAGCTGCTTGTGTACACAAAAAATCAGGGCTGAGCGAGAGCGCCACCCGGGCACCACCACCGCCGCCGCTGGCAGAGGCTGGCAGAGGCGGCGCTGTGCGCCGGCTGCGGCGTGGCGGGGCGGGGCGGGGCGTGGCGGGGCG